GTGTGTGTGTGTGTGTGTGTGTGGATTGGAGGGGAGCGTGTGTGTGTGTGTGTGTGTGTGTGTGTGTGTGTGTGTGTGTGTGTTGGGGTGGGGCATAAGTCTGGCCCCTGTGACTGGAAGGGCTATTTCTGTCCCAGCAGCAGCAGCAGCTGGGGCCAGTGTCCCTCCTGGGCTTAGATCCTGGGAGGCCGGTGGGAAGGAGCATCTTTGTGGCCAGCCCCTTTCCCCTCTCCGCGCTCCTGGGAAGCGGCCGCTGGTCAGCCAGAGCCTTTCAGCTGTTGCCTCCTTGGGTGGAGCATTTCCTCTGGGAGCCACTATTCCTTTGGCCTCCTGAGGGGCTTCTGCTGCAGGACCCCTGCCCTGGAGGCAGCTCCATAATCCACAGCAGAGAGTTGAGAGTGGCTGGAGCCTCAGGGCATGCTTGTACTTGCTGGGGTTCTCACCCACCTCCTCAGACCTGGTCAGGCTGACCAGAGGAGGGGCAGGATGGGCCTGGGGCCTGGGCCCAGAAGGTCTCCCCAGCCCCGAGCAGCCAGAAGGCCTCTCTTAGCCCGCCTGTCTGCTGCACTTGGCTCTAGGTCACCTGAAATCCCAGAGGACCCTGCCCCAAGCTGCCTCCTAACAGTGCAGGAGCTGGCTGGGGCCCTGGGACTCTTGGGGAAAAGTTAAGGGGTGGGGGAGGGCAGCTCAGCAGGGTGGGGAGAGGATGTCCAGGGATCCCCTGAGATTCCATCCCAGGAAGGACTGGCCTTGGAAGCTGGCCACTCCCCAGAGTGTGTCCCTTCTCATCCTCCAGCCCCAGAGTAGGCCAACCCCACCTGGGCTAGAAGGCAGTGTGACCGGCCCAGCTGTAGATGTCCCCTCAAACCAGGTGCACAGGAAGGGCTCGGGAAGCACATGGCTGATAACCAGGCTCCAGGGTGGGGAGCAGCCCAAAACTGGGCAGGGCAAGCTGCTGGGCTGAGACCAGGGGACTAAAGTCCAAGTGAGGGTGGAACTGAATCTACTTTGCTGCCGCAGCAGGGAAACTGAGTCAGATGGGTCAGCTAACACTGATGGAGCACCTAGGGTGTGCCAGGCACAGTCTAGGCACGGGGGCACAAAGGAAACAGACAGCCGCTGCCCTCCGGGAGCTCCATGTCAGCTGGACGACTCAGATGTGGGGCTGTGCTCTCAGCTCACCTTTTTCCTCTCCTTGGGTTCCTGCTTCTCAGGCCTGGGACGAGGCTCCTGCAGCCCCTTCCCTTCCCACTTTTTGTCCAAAAAACCACTTGCAGGAGTCCAGTACCCACTGGCGGGGGGAGGGTCTGAGCCACAGAAGACCCTGGCCAGGGCCCTGCCACCTGCCCCTGCCCAGAGTGTGAAAGGCTCACTAGAGAGGCAGAGTCGGGCGGGGCTGAGGGCAGGGGAACAGTGGACCTGGCAGAGGCCCTGGATGGCACTTGCAGAAGCTTATGCTGGGGGTCCATTGTGGCCTGGTGCTTAGCGGGAAGGGCCTCTCACAGCCCCCCAGGCCCTCTGAGGTCACCCCAGTGAGTGGCTGAGCAGGAAGGGCTAGGAGGGAGTGGTGTACAGGGGACTCCGGTGGGGTATGGTCAGGAGGACTTGACCCCTGGCTGGAGGGTGGGAGTCTTTTCTCATCTCGTCTCCTTGTGTACTTTCCTCCTCCCCCAGGACCAGTTGATTCCTGCCCTGTTCTGCTCCCCTTGGCTGAGCCCAGCTCTGACGTGGGGCCTAGGGAATGCAGTGCAGGGGAGGGACCGGGGGAGGAGCCTGGGCCATGTGAGGGCCAGGCCGAGCCAGGCCAGCGGCTGAGATCAGGCCTCAGACCCAGCCTGATCCCCTTTGTGAGGGGAATGAGCTGGAGAGAACCTGATCCCTTGGGCCAGTGTGTGGGAGAATCCTGCCCTGCCCTGTCCTGCCCTGCCCTGTCCTGCCCTCAGGCTTCCTTTTCCTCTGGACTCCGGATTCCTGTGGGGCTGAGGAAATGAATGTGGCCTGAGATCCTGGATGGAGGAGGAGGGATGGGGAGCTCTGCTCTGGGAGAGACCCTGCCCACCTGGGCTGGGGAGGGCTGGGATGGAGGGGTGGGGCAGGTGGGTCGGCCCCCTCCCTTGGCTAGGCCTTCTGGACTTGTCATTCCTGCCGGGAAGCTGCCCATTGTCCTGGTTTCCTAGGAAAGTGCTCTCACATTGTGGATGTGCCCAGGTGTCTGGGAGCAGCTAGCGGGGTGGGGGCGCTGGTGCTCTCCCTCTTCCAGGAGGCCGGCAGCCTGTTAGTGAACGTGCCCTCCATCCCCCTTGGGGAGCTATCTTGTGGGGTTGGAGGGATCAGGCCTGGAATGGAGGGTTTAGTGTGGTCTGGGCAGGGCCTGCCTTCCCATCCTGCCCTGCCTGCTCCCTCAGGTCTCCCTTTGACTCGGAGCCCCTCTCCCCAACGTGGGCTTTCAAAGATGGGTGAATATAATGAGAAGAAGGAGACATGTGGTACCATCTGCCTGAAATACCTGCTTTTCACTTTCAACTGCTGCTTCTGGGTAAGGGCAGGGGGAGGGGGAGGGGGAGAGACAGACAAGGGGGGTGGGGGGGGCTCTGTGCCTCTGCTTCTTCATCTGTTAAATGGGAATCAGTAGCACCTCACTCACCAGGCCAAATGCTTTGGAGAAAAGGGGGTACAAAAGTGTCACCCCGCTGTCCTTGACCATTCCCTCTTAAACCCAGGTGAGCCTCCTGGGGAAGCCCCCCCTCGGCCTCTAATCTCCCTGCAGACACATTACTGTCCCCACTTGATAGACAAGCAGCTGAGGCCCAGACAACAGTGAGAATGTGATCCTGTATTGGAAAAAGGGAGGGGGCGTAGCTGGCTGGGCCCAGTGTGGTGTCTGGAGCAGACCTAGGAGAAGGAAGGCCTCCTGCCCTGGAGCTGAGGAGGTGCGCCTGGCCTGGGGTCTGCACCCACAGTCATTATGTGGTTGTAGTCCTCACGTCAGTCTTGGGGGGAATGGGCGCATAGCTTGGTATCCCCTTTGTAGAATGGAAACTGGCCCAGGGAGCAGAGGGCTGGTACTGGACCCTGGCTTTCTTGGGATCCCCCCAGTGTTCTTTCTGTGACACTGCTGATTTGCCTGGGGTCATGGAATGACTCAGCTTGGGCTTCCCATCTGGGCTTTTGATGGGGCAGTGGGAGGGATGGGGAGAATCCAGCCTGCCTCCTTGACGCCCCTCCTCACATGGACCAGGGCCAAGGTCCTCCCCGTCCATCTCCTGCGGTGACATGGACGTAGGGGCCCTGAGTGGCGGATGTCTGTCTTCCCACAGCTGACTGGCCTGTCCGTCATGGCTGTGGGCATCTGGACGCTGGCCCTCAAGAGTGACTACATCAGCCTCCTGGCTTCCAACACTTACCTGGCCACAGCCTACATCCTGCTGGTGGCTGGGGCTGTGGTCATGGTGACAGGTATCCTGGGGTGCTGTGCCACCTTCAAAGAGAGACGGAATCTGCTTCGGCTGGTGAGCCAAGCCCCTGCAGGCCCTGGGAGGGCGAGGAGGGGAAGGGGATTCCATGGACGCTAGTGGAGCGCCCACTGTGTGCTGACTGTTGCTGGCCCCAGCCGGTGGCCCCCCCCCTCAGATATCTATGGTCAGCCACTTTTTGAAGGCGCCGATGCTGAGCTTGTCACATTCCTGGGCTCTCGAGGACCAAGAGCTCTGGGGGGAAGGGGGAGGATCGGGCAAGTTATCATTCAGTTGTGTCCGACTCTTCGAGACCCCATTTGGGGTTTTCCTGGCAAAGATATTGGAGTGGTTTGTCATTTCCTTCTCCAGCTCATTTTACAGATGAGGAAACTGAGGCCAATAGGGTCACACAGCTAGAATCTGAGGCAAGTCTTCCTGACTCCAGGGCTGGTGCTCTGTCCCCTGGAGGCCCAAGATTAGGGAAGGCTGGAGAGTAAATGAAGGCCCCAGGATGAGGCACACTCTGCCCTGGGACATGCCCTGCCCTCAGGGGCCAAGGCCCTGGCTTGTTTTAGGAAGACTCTTAATTGTGTCTGGAGACTGGAGGCCTCTGTCTGCCTTCTGGGCTCCTGGCTATGAGATCACACCCACTCCTGCACTACAGCTGTCCTTCAGCCCTGGGTGTGTCCAGCCTTTGGTGTGGTCCCTGGGGGCATTTCTCCCTCCTCCCCCCTCCCCTCTCCTTCCCCTCTCCCTCCTGTCTCCTCTCTTTTCCCCTTCCCTTCCCCCCTCCCCCCTCTCTCCTCCCTCCCCTCTCCCTCTTTCTCCTTCCCCCTCCTTTCTCCTCCCTCCCCTCTCCCTTTCCTCCCCCTTTCCCCTCTCCTTTCTCTTTCCCCCTCCCCCTTTCCCCCTCTCCCTCCCTCCTCTCCTTCTTGATGCCAGAATGGGGGGGGGAGAGGGGGAAGGCAGGGTCTGGCCCCCCCAGGCCTGCTGACTGACTCAGTGTGTGAGGGTCAGGCTTGGATGAGGGCCCCAGAGATCTGTGGCCTCACACCCTCTCTGCCCTCTCCAGTACTTCTTCCTCCTGCTCCTCATCTTCCTGCTTGAGGTCATCGCGGGCATCCTGGCTTACATCTACTACCAGCAGGTGGGTTGGGAGGCTGCCAAGGGGCTGCCAGGCCCTGGGGCACTGGGATAGGGCCTGGGGGGTTTCCCTGGCACAAGGACTCCCCAGAGGAGCCTTTCCCGCCAGCTTCTCAGCTCTTGGAAGGGTCTCAGCCTGCAGGGGCGCAGGCCAGACCTTCCTGGCTCCGAGAGCGGCCCTGTCCGCCATACTGCACCGCCTCTGTGCCCCAAGTGGCAGAAATGCTTGGAGTGGCCCCACCGGCATGCCAGGACTGGAATGGCGGGGTTTCCCTGCCTCCCTGGGGGAGGGGGAGCTGGGCCCCCTGCTGCTGCTGGGGCTGGCAGTGGCACCAGCAGGCAGCCGGCCCTGGGCTCAGCAGGGCCGAGGGGGTCGGAGGCCTGGGCTTTGGGCTTCATAGCTGCCCCCTTCTCACTTGCAGCTGAGCGCAGAGCTGAAGGATACCCTCAAAGATACCATGGTCCAGAAATACCACCAGCCCGGCCACGAAGGGGTGACCGTGGCTGTGGACAAGCTGCAGCAGAAGGTTGGTGTCCAGGGCCCACCCTGCCTCCACTCCCTCAGATGCCTGGGGGGCCTTCCTTTTCTTGCTTCTCCACAGTCTTGTTCTGGCCTTCTTCCCCAGCTCACCTGTCGTTGCCTCTGCCCTGCTCTTCTCCACTGACTGTCCCTGCCCTGGCCTCGCCCTGCCCTGACCTCCTCCTCACTCTGGCCTCCCCCTGCCCTGACCTCCTCCTCACTCTGGCCTCCCCCTGC